TTAAGGGCAGTAATAATATACATAGAGATGATTCATCAGCATAGTGTGTAATAATAGGAAGCAGTTGAACTTTCTGTGTCTAAGCATACTTTGCCATATAATAATAATTATTATTATTATTAACCGATGTCTAACATTGATTGACTATAGTAAATATGTTCTGTAGTGGGAGGTCTATCACAGTATTTGTTTTTTTATATTCCAACTCTTCCAGGGGACAGCTGTGTTTGATTTTGCCGGCACAGGTCCTGAAGTCCATGGCAATAAGAATGCACCACGTGCCATCACTACCTCGGCTATCATCTACTGTCTGCGGTGTATGGTGGGCCATGATATACCTCTCAATCAGGTACTTGGTACAATTCTTCAGCATTCAAATCTGGAATAATTATTTCACTTCTTAATTTATTGACGAGAGCAGCTTATCTTAGTCGGCCAAACAGGTGGTAGCCACTATGTGTGTGCTGATTCGTGGAGATCTGTAGTTTGAACTTGATCTCTTGGTCCCCCAGTTCAATTCCCATCGCTGCTGTCCTTGTGAGCTGAAATGCAAGTTTCAATTGCATATCGTCTTTCTGATTTAAGCCATTTGTCCTGTGGGAAATATGGCCCAGGGGGACGCTAAAAAATGCAGTACACTCTTTGGAAAAGAGTAGGGGATTGTCTCCAGTGTACTGCTCAATCACCAACAGAAGGACCCTACTGGAAGTAAGTTTTCTTTGGACTTTCATCAGTTATCAAACTATCTCTATTCTTCCCCAGAAATTTGTTGCTTAATTTGTTTTTTGTTTATTTTATCGTCAATATATTTATTTTTGATTTATTTTGATAGGGATGCCTGAAGCCCGTTAAGATTAATGTCCCTTCTGGCTGTATCCTTGCACCCTCTGAGAATGCCGCAGTAGTTGGTGGTAACGTGCAAACATCTCAACGTGTCGTAGACGTGGTCCTTAAGACATTCCGCGTGTGTGCAGCCTCACAGGTAAGAGGATTCTATGCATGTGGTAATATGAATATGCTGATTGTTAATATATAAAGTTATAAGGCATCTAATGTTATGTACATCTATATTAATATGAGTATGTAAATTGCAGTTAAACTTGCCTAAGTCGCCTGTGCCTAAGTTGAATAATTTCTAAATCGATCTTATTTTACATGCCAAATTGTTGAGTTTTCCATTAATTAACAATCTGTAAGTCAAATTTTATCTAAGTCGAACAATATTTCAGTGGCATTTTGGATTCGACTTAGGCAAGTTCAACTGTATAAAGCAACTGTGATTATTACGTAATATTATGCAAATTATACAGTTTCATGTTAACATGAATATGTAAATAGTGTATTGACCGTACAAAGAAATGTAATGTTCTTTACACGGTAATATATAGATTAATATTAATATGCAAATTACTTTTGTATATGAAGTTAATCATCTTCTAAACCTATGGGAAATACTTTCTGTGAAGTTTTATCTCTCATACAGTATAGCAAATTTAAAAGCATATGCAAATTAATGTATGATTCTTTTCTCATAGGGCTGTATGAATAACATGACATTTGGAGATGATGAAGTTGGTTACTATGAAACATTAGCTGGTGGTCACGGTGCTGTAAGCTAAAAATTCAGGATAATTTATTCAAGATAATTCGTTCAATAAATTTATAACATACTGGACAAACTGTATACAAAATAGAAAATGTACATGATGCAAATATATTAAAACATAAATTACAAAATTTATGGCAAAATAAGAATTAAAAAGATAATTACAAAGTGGAAGTCTATTTTTATGGATTTTGTTACAGTGCTTTGTTGTTATCATAATCATCATTGTTAGTTTTTATTGTTATAATTTTTTGTTATTATTGTCATATTATCACTGCTTACTACCTTAAATTTGTTATAAAATGCATTAAAAATGTGTTTTAAATGTTTCTTTTCCAGGGGCCTGGATGGGATGGCAGAGGAGGAGTACATACCCACATGACCAATACAAGAATTACTGACCCTGAAATATTTGAACGAAGGTTAGTCTACAGGTTTGAATAAGATAAAGGCCCTGTTTCTGCTGCAACATTTTTTTTGTTTTTTAAACAGAAATTACAAAAAATACATAGTTATAACTAAACAATTAAATACTGATACAGAAAATTGTTGTAGGGTTGGCATCCTGCTAAACTATTTGTTTTGCCACTGTTTTAAGCTGCAGCACATATGGGGCTTGCCATGTTAAAACCAGCAGTCCAAGGCGCGCTGCAGCACATATGGGGCTTGCCATGTTAAAACCAGCAGTCCAAGGCGCCCTCCCCCCCCCCCCCCCCCCC